GACCTCTTGGCAGCAGAGCATGGGCCCGTGAGAGGTATGGCGGCAAAGGTGCCATGAAAGCCTCAGGGCCAACGAGCGTGGCACGAGCGCCCTGGTACTCCAGAAGGAGGCCGAAATAGCGGGTGGCGTACTCGCGGCTGCTCTGGATCCGAGTGAGGTTGCGGTTGATGCGCTGCCTGTCGGGGCCCGCTCTGTGCCAGATGTCCTCGCACATGTCGACCGCGGTGCGATGACGCAGGGCGTCGGTGGTGTCCTCGGACGCCTCAAGGAAGAGGTGATCGTACTGTGGCAGATGGAGCGTCGCCAGGATGTACGGGACGCAGTCCTCGAGCCATGCCCAGAACATGTCCTGGTTTTCCTCACCTGGTGCCCACGCCGCAGCACACGGTATGAGCCGGGCGCGGATCATCATCAGGTGCCAGAAAGCAGGGTCTTCCTCGGGTTCGCCCCTATCTCGCATGGGATCGGGCCGGGCGAAAGGGGGGATTGGGAAAGGGGGGGGTACGAAATTTGCTGCATGCAGCTGGTTTCGGCCTCACCCAGGGGCCCATTCCTCGATACATAGCCGCTTCCGGCGCCGGGAGGCGCCGGGAAAATCAGCTGCGTGAGCTGATTTTCAAACCCCCCCTTTGCTATCCCCCCCTTTCGCCCGACCCGAGAGTGGTGGGACCCGTAGGGCAATAGCGGGGCACAGCAGCGGGGCTGAAGCCGCCACTGTGTGCTTGGCCAATACTGCACGGACTCGCGGCAGCGGTGCCGTTGACGATCGGGTCCAAAATGGTGCAGTGATCGTACTTGTAGATGCTGTCATCGTAGAGGTAGGAAAGGGACGCACGTTCGACGTGCTGCAGGAGAAACCCACCTCCATGCTGGGGCGCACCGCCTGAAGACGGGTGTGCTCCAGCGAGCGAGGGGAGGGCCAGGCTGCAAGCAAAGCGCCACATGATGGCGAGGCCTGGCGGGCGGCGCGAGCGATGAGCCAAAAGCTGCATGTCAGCTCGCATCTTTAGGTACCCCTGCATGCTCATGTACATTGCAACAAACACACCCACAGCAAGATGACAGGTGTCCCTACACCAGGTAGCTTGCTCGTGCTGCTGCCAAAAATGACATGATATAGCAAGGAGGAGGTACGACGAGAAGTGAAAAGGGATGCCTCTGAAGGCGCTTCCTCGGAGGGCTGAGGCGGGCTCTCTGAGGCACCTTCAATAGGGTTCCTGTGTGACCCGCCCTTTGTCTTTGCCTTTGTCAGCCCCTGGGGGCCCCGTCCCTGGGGTGACCTGGCCTGGCTGGTCGATCCACCCGCAGACAGCCACGGGATCGGCAACTGGTGCAGCTTCCTCCTTTTTGGTTTCGAGGGTGGCCACCTGGGGCAGGTGGATGGTACCCCCCGTGAGGTGTCCGAGGAGGGCCTGGATGTCGCCGCGCAGTGCAGCAGCTTCGGTAGTTGCCGTCTGTTGCTGAGTGACGACGGTGGCAAGCCCTCGTTCCAAGCCTGTAACGTGCTCCGTGAGTGTGGCCTGGGATGAGAGAACGCCCGCAAGCTGGACCTGCATGTTGTCCACCGTGTTGGCAAGCAGCTCGTGCTGTTGTTCCATGTGTTGGATGCGGGTCGTAGCGGCATCTGACAGTTTAGGGGCCGTAGCGAAGCGTTCGCCGAGGGTGTTCGGTTCGCGCGATGCCACGCTGAATTCATCCTCTGATGAGAGGATCTCGACGTCGCCTGGTACCTCGGCGGCTGCGTCAGCGTGCCCTTCCGTGTGGCCCCCACCTTCGGCCGCCACCGCGCCAGGTTGCGGGTCATGCCCGTCCCCACCTGGTCCTTGGACGGCCGTCAGCTCGGCAGCTCCATCCGTGCCGTGCGGGGGTGCAGAGGAGCTGCGGCCTGGGGCGCCGTGTGATCTTGCGTGCGGCGTGGCGTCGCGTTTCCCGCTGGAGGATCGGTGGCGCTTGGCTAAAGGCTCCTCCTTGGGGATCGGGAGCGGTGCGACGCCCTTGCCTTTGGGCGTGGCAGTCATGAGGTCGTGGAGGTAGGGGCTCTGGGCCGCTTTGGTTAGGAGTGTGCCCGTGGCGGGGCTGAAGCCGCCACCACGGGCGGGCGGCGTCACAGGCTCTGTGATAGTGTAGGGGTGACAATGGTAACGTTGTCCCTCTTCGGCACGACCTCAGCCAACGGGGCCTCGGTGATGCTCCACGGGATGGGGCACCCTGCGACCTGTACCGTATATGTGGGTGGGGGACGATGAGCGCGCACTAAGGCAAACTGCGCCGAAGTGGCTGGGTCCCAGGCGGTGTGGTAGACCTCACAGTCCCATTTGACGGACGGGCCCGTGAGAGTCTTAGCAAGCTGGGTCAGCGTGGCATGGCGTGCCGCAATGCCCGTGATGCGGTATCGCGTCTTGGCGAGAGTGGCTTCACAGCCACGGATGCTGACGGCAGCGGCCTTGGCGGCGTCTGACCCACGTGCAACACGGATCCCCAATAAGCCTGACTTGCCGTGCCTGACGACTCCTAGGGCTTTGAAGTCCACCGACTTCTGAAACGCCTCTGCCATCGTGATGGGCTGGTCCTCGGGGAACCACACGGTCTGGTACTTGTCTGCCGTGGGCTCGTCCGCACCTACGTTGCTGAGGTCGTAGGTGGCGCCGAGTTGCCCCGAACCCGCCAAGACCTTGTCAACTGCTTGAAGACTGACGCCGAAAGTGGCAGCCAGGGACCTTTTTCCGACGCCAGATCCGTACCTGCCTAGACTTTTGCAGGGTTCGAGGATAGTGACGGCTTTAAAGTTGCCGTGGAAAAGGGCCTTGAAAGTGTCCTGAAGCTGACTGTCGAGCTCCTGGCGGCGAGCGTCTTTCTTAGACTCCCTGTGCTTTTGGTTTTGGCGCGCCTTGTCCTGTGGAGCGGAATCCCCTCGGAAAGGACCCTTGGCGCGTGGACCACCGTTCACGGGGGCGCCTCCCGAAAACTGATCCTCGAAGGCCTGATGCATGGAGGGGACTGCGGCGATGGCTTCGGTTTCATGTATGGTCACCCGAATCCAGCATACGTGGTCGGCAGGATCAATGGTGGCGACGGCTACTTTTTCCGTGCAGGCGACTTCCTTGGTGCCCAGCTGGTACACGGTCACGGGGACGTGCGTGTGAACCACATTGGGCGCCTTGGGGTGGCGCTTCAGCACGGGGACGGCGAGCTCGGTGCCGACGTAGTTGTCGTTTTTTGGGCCCATGACAGCGATCGCGAGCTGACCCGTGGTACGCTTACCCTGCTCGAGATGGTGCTGCAGCAGCCGCTCGCCACTCTCGTAGTCGTGGAGGCTGATGCTGGGCTTGTACGTCTTGCCGTCGTCGAGTGATGTGGGTTCGGCCAGGACTGGGACCTTCCAGAAGGCCGGGTCCAAGGCAATAAATTTGGCGTCCGCAGCCTGAAGACGTGCGGACGCAGCTGGTGGATAGGATGTGTCACCACCATTGCGCTTAGGCTTGCTGCGCTGGTGGTGATCCAGCGTGTAGCTGATCTGGTTGGCGGCACACATGCGGATCAAGGCACTGCCGAGCTTCTTTGTGTTGGTCTTGTGCATGTCGTACGTGGCCTGCAGCTCGTCCGCGTTCAGCTCGGCGAGCCCGTTGTATGCGGCCGTGGGGCGGTCAGACCCCGCTTGCTTGAAAGCTGCAATGCAGTCCTGTTTGCGTTGGAGGAGGGATCCTTCAGCTGCAGGACGTGAGCTCGGCGGCTGCTTGGAAGAGCGACGGCGCTCCGGCTTGGCGGGGGCCATTGCGGCGGGCGCTCTGGTGGGAGGGAAGAGGTGACGCGAATCAGTAGGGTCCTGCTGGGACCCCTCCGGTCTCGCGAGGCCTGGGAGACTGGCTCCGAGGCGGGGCGCTTCGCGTCGCGGCTGCGGTCTGAGTGCAGGGCACTCTCGAGCCGAGACTAGAGAGAGAGAGAGAGAGAGAGAGAGAGAGAGAGAGAGCGAGAAGAGAGAGAGAGAGAGAAAGAGAGAGAGAGAGAGAGAGAGAGAGCGGGAGAGAGCGAGAGAGAGAGAGAGAGAGCAGAGAGAGAGAGAGAGAGCGGGAGAGAGCGAGGGAGAGCGAGAGAGAGCGAGAGAGAGCGAGTGAGAGCGAGAGAGAGAGAGAGAGAGCGAGAGAGAGCGACAGAGAGCGAGAGAGAGCAAGAGAGAGCGAGAGAGCGAAAGAGAGAGAGAGAGAGAAGAGAGAGAGAGAGAGAGATAGAGAGAGAAAGAGAGAGAGAGAGATATAGAGAGAGAGAGAAGAGAAGAGAAGAGAAGAGAAGAGAGAGAGCGAGAGAGAGAGAGAGGGAGAGTGAGAGAGAGAGGAGAGAGCAGAGAGAGAATAGAGAGAAGAGAGAGAGGAGAGAGAGAGAGAGAGAGAGAGAGAGGCAGAGATAGAGGCAGAGAGAGAGAGGCACAGAGAGAGAGGCAGAGAGAGAGAGAGAGGCAGAGAGACAGAGGCAGAGAGAGAGGCAGAGAGAGAGAGAGAGGCAGGGAAAGAGAGGCAGAGACAGAGAGAGGGCAGAGAGAGAGAGAGAGACAGAGAGAGCAGAGAGAGCAGAGAGAGAGGCAGCTCAGTCACACTTAAATCCAGATTCGTCCTCACCGAGTCCCACCACCAAGGGAGCGCCAGCAAGGAGATGCACATATGGGGATCCCCACGCAGTGAATAATTCTCGAACGGCTGACAGACACTCGAGCTATGACACAATAACCAGACGGCGAGAATTTTTCGGGAGGGATTGGGACAGGGGTGGTGCGTGCGAGATTCTAGGGGGCGTTCTATGATTTCGGAGGGTTCTAAGGACTCCGAAGAGTCTCCCTCATCCGCCTTCCTCATGTCTCCTCCCGCACGTTCACCATCGTAGTCCTCTACGTTCCTCCTTATCATCGAGGTACGCCCCCCCATCACTCCTCATCGTCATTCCTCGGTGTCATCCTCCATCCCCTCCCACGCCATCCCCCTCCGCCACCACTCTCTCCTCATAGTCCGCATGTTCATTCGTCTCCACGTCCTACCCGCAGTCCTACTCCTCCTCCTTCTCTGTCTCCTCACTTTCCTCATAATCCTCCTGCTGATCTCATTATTCCCTCTCGCCTCCCTCAACTTCTCGTCCTTGGCCCTCCAGGGTTGCCGCAGCGCAGCTGCGGATTCGTTCGGACGACCAGGCGCTGCACCGCTCCGTGTCACCAGCACCATCGCTAGGGGAACAAAAAGTGGCATAAACATAAAAACTCGGAGGCCCGCGCGGATTTCTCGGATCGGCGCTGCACCCCCCTCCTTGGCGCGCGGAGCGCGCCAGGGGCGGCGCCGGAGGCGCCGCCGGGGGGCCCCAGCGCCGATCCGAGAAATCCGCGCGGACCTCCGAGTTTTCATGTTTATGCCATTTTTTGTTCCCCTAATCGCCATCCAGCCGCGCCGCCGCAGACACCCGGCCATCCCGTTCGGGGCAAGGCTGTGGCGCCGCATGGCTGTCGTGCTGCCTCTGGGGGGGGGGGGGGGGGCGGAGGCGCCTGGTCCCGCGGGGCGCCTCTCGGAGCTCCCCTCGGGGGCCCGCTGGGAGCACCAGAGCACCGGGGCCGCCTCGGTGGCCTCTCGGGGCCGCCTGGCAATTGCCAAGCGATATTTCTTGAAGAGAAACATCGCTTCGCACAGGTTCGCAAAGAGATTGTCTCTCAAGAAGTATCGCTGCGCAAAGGTTAACCTTTGCGAAGCGATATTTCTTGAAGAGAAAGCACGTTGCCCTGCAGCTCGAGTTGATGGGATTGCAGCTTCTGCTCGTGCTCTCGTCTGTTCCGAATCGCCTTCGGGAGGAGCAGGGCATGGTAGGAAAAGCGGTTCTGCTCAGCCAGAGGTCCCGTTTGAGACCGCGGTGGTGAATTCACAATTGTGATCATTTGGGCCACCTGCCTGCATATGCCTTCACAGCTTCCCAATGACCTGCCGACCTGCCTGCCGAATTACTTCATTACATCAAGCAGTGGCGAAGCGTCCCGGCTCCCCTATAGCCCCACTAAACAATGTTCTAAGAACCTTTTGTAGTTCCCACGAGATGTTCTTAGAACATTTATGGCTGGGAATGTATTGCTTTAACACATCGGGTTTATGTTCTAAGAACAGTGTTTTTGTTATTAGAACATGTTTGGGTTCTAAGAGAAGTTCGTGGTATGACTATAGGAATGCCGGGACGGCCGGTCCCTGCTCAATTACATTCCGAACCACCTCATCAGCAGCTGAAGTAAGGACAGTGGAGAAAATCACTGCGACCAACTTACACATGAAACATGAATGTACCAGGCGTTCACGGTGACAGACCTGCACTCAGTGTACAACTACACTTGCCCGTGTATCAGAAGATCTGGCCCAGGCAGCCCCCGGTGGACCTGCAGGGGGGGTGGAGAAGGTATCATAACATGTTTAGGGAGGTGGGGGGGGCGACGACGACGATGGGGAGGTCGAGGAACAACCAGGGGTGAGGAGGACAACGATCGTTCTTGACCTTCCGTGGCAGCTGAAAGGTGGCATGGCTTGACACATGCGTTCCAGCATCCGCTCTGTTTCGACTAGCCTGCATGTAGAATGAAGGCCACAGGGGTTGGGTGCTGGCGACCCACAGAGCGAACATCAAACCACCGCTTCTCTCTGCGGAGGGTCGGGGCTCGGTCGACGGCCCAGGTACGATCCAGCGGTGGGGATCAAGCCCTTCGTCCTGGGTCTTTGCCACGTCATGGACCAGATGGGTTGCGCCGAGAAATTCACGCTGCTGGTCGACCTGCGACCTGTGGAGGGCTGGCCGAATGTGCCCGCCTACCGCATGGTGCCCTTTATTCGTCTCCTCGCCCGCGTGTGCCCCAACAACTACCCCGAGCGGATCCACCGCATACTCGTCTACCCGTTGCCCCCGATGGTGGAGCAGCTCTGGCGGGTCATCAAGTCGGTGCTGGAGGAGGGGACCCGCAAGAAGCTCGAGGTGATCTCCGGCCCCTCGGAGCTGGGGTCGCCCTGCCCCAGGGAGCTGGGCAGGCACGTGTCCTACGAGCAGCTGCCAGAGGACGCGAGGGGCATGCACCGGTCCCTCCTCCAGGAGGAGATCGGGCGGGGGGCAATGGGGGGGTGGCCCACATGGGGGGTGAAGAGAAAGGCCCTCAAGGAGCCCTTTTGGGCCCCTTTGGGGCCCCCGCTGGCTCTTGAAGGGGCCCGAAAGGGCCCCTCGAGGGCCCGTTTCTTCACCCCCCCCCCTTTGGGCCACCCCCCCTTACATTACCACCCGCCCGAGGAGGCGGAGGCCGAGTGGGACACGTGCAGCTCGGGCACGGCGTTCCACACGCCCAGGTCCACGGTGTCGGCGAGCAGCTGCCAGAGCAGCTGCCAAAGCGACGGGGCCTGGTGCCTCCGGCCGCCCAGGGGCTGGTACAACTGGTGCCGCAGCCAGTGAGCCCGCCGCCCCACCTCCGAGGCCGTGGGCTCCGCCCGAGCGGCGGCCGAGCCTTACGGTCAACCCGCATAGCAAGGGCGGGCAACCTTCCCAAGGGTACCTCCTCCTCTTCCTCCTCCTCTTCCTCCTCCTCTCCCTCCTCCTCATTATCATCCTCCTCCTCTTCCTCCTGCTCCTCCCCTCCTCCCCTCCTCCCCCTCCCCCTTCTCCTCCTCATCCTCCTCTTCCTCCTCCCCCTCCTCCTCCTCCTCCTCCTCCTCCTCCTCCTCCCTCCCTCCCTCTGGCACCCGTGCCCACAGAATCGGTAGAGGCTAAGCCCATGCAGAGCAAGCCAATACGTGTTCAGTCTCCGTATGGACTTACTCCGTCTGGACTTAGCCTCTGCTGACAGAAGACCACCCACGTCGGGCAGTTCGCGCGAAAGATGGGGCCCGCAGCAGCGGAGATATCTAGGCCTGCTCGATGGGGTCCAGTAGATGTGGTCGGAGGATCGCGCGGCATCGCCGATGGTTCGGCGATGCGGCTCGATGTGGAGCCCGATTTTCCCTACGCCGACGTCGCGGATGCGTCGCCGACGTCGCCGATACATCGGCGATGTATCGCCGATGCATCGGCGATGCGGCGCGATCCTCCGACCCCATGTACTCGGACCCCATCTCGGAGGCCTCTCATCTACCGACAGAAGACCACCCACGTCGGGAAGCCCGCGCGAAAGACGGGGCCCGCAGCAGCGGAGATGCCGCTCGAGGTGGGTCGACCCCCTCGCGGTGGCAGAGACCCGGGCCCACGCCGTCGAGGCCGGAGCGTGTTGGCGCCTCCGCCGTCACCGCAGGGGAATTGGCCCCGAGGCCCCTCAGCTGCCGTTGGTGCGGGCGTAGTCGCTGGCGTCGGTGCCGGCGTCGGTGTATGCCTCCTCTCCCTCCTCAGCCTCCTCCTCCTCCTCATCCGCTGCTGCTGTCGTCGCCTCCTCGTCCCCCTCAGCCTCACCCGCCTCGGCATTGGGGCTGGCGTAGGCGTAGGCGCAGCTGCTTGATCGGCCCATGATCTGAGATCCAAGACCCACGGTTCCCGGGCGGGAAAGCACACACAGACACAAGCGTCGACCCCCAGGCATAATCTAGAAGAGATGGGAAGCGGAGAGGAAGACGAATGTCCAGAAAGCATTTTAAACAAGTAAGAATCCTTGGATGTGTGGATGTGTGTATTTGTGTGTGTGTGTGTGTCCCTGGGCGCGCTTCAAGGGTCCCCGTGGCGCGGAGAGAGTGGGGGATCGGGGACTGGCCCTGGCATCGCCAGATCGCCAGCGACCCCCCAGGGTGCGTCGTGATGTTTGAGCGGGCGACCTTTCTTAAAAACAAAAAAAAAAAAATGTTTGAGCATGCGACCCCAGGAGTGCGACACTTGGCGGCGAGCGAGGGGGGAAAAGTGAGAAGGAGAGGGCCTTCTCGGAAGGCTCGGAAGTCCCCAGGCCTTTTGAGAAGTGTATTCAGCCTTCTCCGAAGACGCAAAGACTTCCCCCCTCGCTCGCCGCCGAACGATTGCGAAACATCTTCCCCAAAGCGGCCCACAGACCGTTCTCTGTGTCAAGGGGAGGACGAGGGTCGCCAGGAGCTTGCGGATCGGAGGTGCAGCGCAAGGGTGCAAATTGGAGACCCATGCCAAGAAACACTTTGCCTGCCTCCAGGGTGCCCTGGGTTTCTTGGGTTTCGATGGGCTTGCTATGGAAAGCGTGACGTTCCCACCAAAAATCAATTGACGTCTTGGGGTCGCCAGGTTGGATTTCTTGTGGAAGGTTTCCTGTGGTCGAGCTCCTGCCGTACCCAACCTGCCCGGAGGGGGGAGGTCACGGCACAGCTTTCCGAAGGCATGCCAGTCTTTCGGGGGCGGAAAAGAGGGGGGTGATGACTAGGGGGGGGTGGATATCATGGCGCGGGCCATGATATTTCCACAGATTTTGTGGCGCCTCTTCTTGTTTTATTACGTCCCTGGCCCCCCCGCTGGGCCGCGCACATGCCGCCGGTCATGATTTGCACCCCCCCCTCTTGGACACCCCCCTCTTAGCCGCTCCCGAGTCTTCGGCGACGGGGCGCGAGTTTGGCCACGTGGGCCAGGACGAGATTTGGGCGCGGAATCTCCAGGTGCCTTGGACTGGGACGCTGGGCTGGAGGGGCCAGGAGCGCAGGGATGAAGTGCGAGGGGTGGAGGAGGAGGAGGAGGAGGAGGAGGAGGAGGAGGAGGAGGAGGAGAAAGACCAGTGCAAACCCAAGACTCATCAACGACGTTGGAATAAACCCTCTTCATAGGCCCCTAGAGGGATTCGTTTCCACTGATAGTTGAAGACCCTGAGACGTGCCAAAACACCACCCTCGGGACTCCAACGCCACGAATCAACGTGACCGTTGCGTCTTGACGATTCTGAATCGCGTCAGAACGCCGTTCCTGGGATTTCAACACCGCCAGTCAACGTAACTGCTGCGCCCTGAAACTCCTGAGCCTTTCCAAAAAATAACGAGTTCTGGTACGCTGACCATGGGATTCCGTGAAACTCTTGCGAATGTGTTTTGGGACGAATGTGCGCAGCGCTACGGCGAGAGCCACATTTTGCAAACGGCCCGCCCTCAATCCGTGAAGCGCTTGCATGGTTGAAGGCGAATGTGCGCGGCGCTAAGGTGAGAGCCACATGTTGCAAACGACCCGCCCTCAATCCGGGAAGCCGCTGCAAATTTACAAAACGAATGCGTGCGGCGCTAAGGAGGAAGAGGAGGAGGAGGAGGAGGAGGAGGAGGAGGTGAGGGGGAGGAGGAGGGAGGGAGGAGGGAGGAGGAGGAGGGAGGAGGAGGAGGAGGAGGAGGAATAGAGGAGGAGGAGGATGAGAGAGAATAGAGAGGAGGAGGAGGAGGAGAGAGGAGGAGGAGGAGGAGGAGGAGGAGAGAGGAGGGAGGAGGAGGAGGAGGGAGGAGGAGTGAGGAGGGAGGAGGGAGGAGGGAGGAGGAGGAGGGAGGAGGGAGGAGAGGAGGGAGGAGGAGGAGGAGGGAGGAGGGAGGAGGGAGAGGTGGGAGGAGGAGGAGGAGGAGGGAGGGAGGAGGAGGGAGGAAGGAGATGGAGGGAGGGGAGGAGGGGAGGAAGGAGAAGGAGGAGGGAGGAGGGAGGCAGGGACAGGAAGGAGCCCTGCGCGGATCGACTGAGGCAGGGACAGGCCCTGCGCATCGACTGAGAGGCCGTTGCGGCTTCCCCCTCGGGAGCCCGAACGTCCCGATCGATGCCTCTGCGACATCCTCCTGGTGGACGCCCAGACAGCATTGATGCACAATCTTTTGGTCGGCGGGTCGAGAGCGGGCCTCTTCCTGTTAAGAGCTAGGCGGGGCGCGCGAAGCACTAATTGGGGAGACAGGGCGCGGGCGGGCGGGGCCTCAGGCGGCCGGAGGGTGCGGAGTACATGCGGTGCCGAAGAGCTTGCACAGGAAAAGGTACGCCTTGGACAGGAGCCGGGGGCGAAGTCCCGGAGGGAGAGCGAAGTGGTGTTGCCGTCAACGGCGCGCCTGGATCACCATCCTCTCAGAGCCCCGAATCATCAGGGGTAACTCGGGTCAGGGATAACTCGGGTTCCTTTTTCGGGAATCCAAACCCGAGTTACCCCGGACCCGAGTTACCCCGGATAACTCGGGCGTCCAGAGCCCCGAATCATCAGGGGTAACTCGGGTCAGGGATAACTCGGGTTCCTTTTTCGGGAATCCGAACCCGAGTTACCCCGGACCCGAGCTACCCCGGATAACTCGGGCGCCCAAATCCTCGAGCATTGATGCACAACCAGCGTCCCGATGCGCCGAGCACTCGCAGCGATAGCGATCTTCCCACGTCAGAGAGCGAGCGACGCCAAGGCAGCGGCATCGTCGTCGCGGACACCGGCGCGCACGCTGCCCGCGTAAGGCCCCGTGTAGGTGCCCTCGTCTCCAATGTGGCGTGGCGAGCTGGCGGCCCCCGCAAGACGCGCCGCACCATTGTAATATTATCGGGTCGGGCGAAAGGGGGGGGTTGGGAAAGGGGGGGTTACGAAATCTGCTGCATGCAGCTGGTTTCGGCCCGACCGAGGGGCCCATTCCTCGATACATTGGCGCCTCCTTGCGCCGGGAGGCGCCGGGAAAATCAGCTGCGTGAGCTGATTCTCAAACCCCCCTTTGCTATCCCCCCCTTTCTCCCGACCCGATATTATCGTGTGGAACATCCGTTCTTTTCGTCGTTCGATTGATCCAGGTTTCGCCGTCTGTCGGTCGCTTGCGATGTTGTGGCGCGGGTGGCGGGTGGCCTTTGGTTATGTTGAAGTGCGCGGCGAAGCTGCTGACGCAAATATGGCGATTCGCTCATATGGGCAGCGAATGCGCAAATGTGGCGATTCGCTCAGGCAAACAACTGTCAGCCAGCGTGGGCCCCAGGCAGTGATGTCGTGCTACCTTTTGCGGCGCAGTCCGGGTGGGGCAACCAATGTGGTGCAATGCCGTTGGTGCAATCCATGTGGTGCCATCTCTACGCGGTTCAGCGTAGCGCAATGAGATGCAAGGCGATGCCAAGGAAGGCAATGCGATGCAGAGCAAGGCACGGCTGGCGATGCGAACGGGGGGGGTGCAACGCGGCGGCGGCGACGGCCAAGAATTGGGCCGCTGGGGCTACAGACGGCCCCTTTTCATTGGGAAAAGTATGATGGCGGCAGCGGATGGGAACGGGGTCGACGGGCAAACAGACGGGCCTGGTTCCTGAGAAGACAGATAAAATCTTTTGAGTACAAGCAATGGTTGGGGAAGTCTTGGCGCTTCACGTAGCCCCACCAGCCCATCCAGAACCGATGTTCTGATTTCCTGGCCTCATGTAGGCGTTGCATAAGCATCCAGTGCAATAGACACCTTGACTGCTTTTGTCGGGGGTGCGGAGATGGTGGCGACATTTGTTGTATTATTCGAGATATGCCGGCCCGCCGCGTTGACGTAATCGGGGGTAGTAGTAGCAGTAGCCGTAGTAGTAGCAGTAGTAGCAATCGTAGTAGTAGTAGTAGTAGTAGTAGTAGTAGT